GCCCCCTAGCTCAGCAGGCCTGGGATTGGGTGTTGCTTCCCCCGAGGCCTCTGCTCTCCCTGGGAAACGCTGTGGGAGAGCAGTGAACAATGGGAGTCTATCTCCGGGTGAGAAACCAGATCCGGCTCAGCTCAGCATCCACCAGCACCTCATGCTTATCGCACCAGCTAGTTCCACTTAGGATGAAACCCGAGCTGCCGTGGCTGTCGGAGCCTTGCTGGCTCTGAAAATGAGAACCAGCAAATGGCACCGACTCCTTCACAGCCCTGACAGGCAGCTTAGCGCCCTGGATCTTTCCCAGAAGCTTTCAGGGACCCTGGGGGCAGGTGGTGGGGCCCTGGAGACCTGCACATGGGTATGTGGGGCGTCTGCTTCCCCTTCCTGGCCAGCTGCACCTGTAGCAATCTCAAGTTTGCAGCCAGAGCCTCAGAGAGAGTGTGTCCCAGGGCAGCCGGCCCCGCCGCCACCCAGAAAGGCTAGTGGAGCCCTGGACCAGAGCCACAGCCGGCTCCGTGGCACCCAGCATGAAGGACTGTGGAGCACAGACCAGGCCCCTAGCCCCTGCTGGCAGTCCAGGGAGGAGTATTCCCAGGAGGGCAGCCTGAAACAGCCCTGGAGGCGGCGTCCTCCCAGCAGGATTGGGGCCTGCTTTCCCCGAACTCCCCACTCTGCTTAGATCTTAGGATGGACCCCAGGTACCAAAGCCAGCCCTGCTCAGGACAGTCTGGCTCCAGGTCATTAGGTCCAAAGCTCAGGCCACTGGAGGACAGAGCTGACTGAACCTCCCTGGACACGGCCCCACAGCTCAGGGCGGCCCATGACTCAGCCCGGCCCGCATCAGACCCTCAGGCCGGGGAGTGGCCCTTGTCACGCTGGGCAGTGGGGATGCTGAGATGCTGCTGGGACAGTTCCTCCTCCTGACCACAACTGGCCCTGGACACTGCAGGCCTCCAGCTCAGTCTGCCTGGAGGGCAGGACAGGCTTCCGGAGCGGGGCTCCTACTGCCACACACCACTGTCCTGTGGAGCTGGCCAGCCTGAACTCTGCAGGACAAAGGACCAGCTGGGCAGGAGCTGCCCACTCAGCCCAAGTGACCAGTCATCCCAGCCACAGAGCTGTGTAGCTCACACCGAGGCTCTGCAGGGCCGGGCTTTAGCTGGAGTTCCACTAACCTCCTTCTGCGACTGCTCCCTGCCGTGAAATCATCTGATCCAGGAGTCACAGTGGGCCCCGATATGGGGCTTTCACAGATACGGAAAATGCTGGAACAAAGTGTGGTTTCCAAAGCCTGTGGCGTCTTGGAGACTCCACGAAACACTGGTGAGCTTAGCTCGAATATGCTGAGGCCGCAGCCACCTGCTCACACTCCCCGATTCCCCCGAGGGTTCACCCTGCCTCTCCCCTCTTCCATTAACCACAGCAGCAGTCTAAGGGGCTTGCGTTCTGACCAACGTGAGAAAGCACTCTCTGCTCAAAGTGAGACGATCGGGCTAAACGCGATTCCCACGGTAACCAATTACCTTCTGATAATTAAATGACAACTCAAGACAGTCAAGTTAAAAGGCCAGGAGACTGGAAGTGCTGGAGAGCAGCTCCCAGGCCCGCAGCCCGGCGCCTGCCACTCCCAGCCCTCAGCGGCGAGGTCAGGAGGAGCGTCGGGGCCTCGACACCCTGCCTGACTAAGGCCCCGTTTTGTCCCCCTTGAAGTGCCTTGTTCTAGAGGCTGAGGCAAAGGCCACCCCTTCCCCAGGCAGACCCCATTGCCAGCGGTGAGGTCCCTGCCTATCTCCTGTCCTGGTCTGGGTCTGTTCGTCTCAGGGTTCCACCATTGAGACATGTGGCCTGGCCCTGGGCGGCATCCAGAAAATGAGACAGGGAGGATGGGGCACAGTGGGAGAGAGAAGAGGGGAAGAGGGAGAGGGATGAGGAATTGGGAGAAAGAGAAGGAGGGGGAAAGGAGAGGCCTGGGGCTCAGCACTGGCACCCACAGCAGAGCTGAGACCCTCTGTTCATATTGGGAGCCAGTGCTCAGCTGCTGGGGCAAAGGCTGAGGGCTGGGGCTGGGGCTGAGGTGTAGGGCAGAGCTCACAGGGCTGGGGCTGAGGTGCAGGGCAGGGCTCGAAGGGCTGGGGCTGAGGTGCAGGGCAGGGCTCGCAGGGCTGGGGCTGAGGTGCAGGGCAGGGCTCACAGGGCTGGGGCTGAGGTGCAGGGCAGGGCTCACAGGGCCTCCCTCTTCTGCTCTTCTCAGAGTCATCACCCTTAACCATAAGATGGTTTTTTCCTGACATGTTTGCATATGTTGAATTTCGTGTGCATATAAACATAACCTTAGTGTAACACTCAGGTGTCTTGGCTTTTTAAGGTAATATGTGTTGTAGAGACGTATGTCAGAATAGAAGTAGCTCGTTCACTTCAGCCCCCACGCAGGGATGGTGATGTATTTTCACATGCAGGTGCATAGCAGTGCCGCTGCGCCACACAGAAGACCTCCCAGACACCCTCTGACGCAAGCTCTGCCCGTGGTCAGCCCACCAGGTTGAAGATTTTGTCTGTTTTGCTCACAGCTGTGTCCCGAAGGCAATGTCCGACCTCTCACAGCCACAGCAACTACGGAATGTGTGTGTCCACAGGTATTCCTAAAATGCAATGCCGGGGTCCACAGCCGTGTCAGCAGGACACAGATCATTTGGACAGAAACTGTGCAGTTGCCTCTGTGGGCTGTGCACCCTTGTGCTTCTGATAGGAGCAGGCGTCCCACCCCGACACCTCCAGCCTCCACTCTCCTGCCCCTGCTTCCCCCCGGCCTCCACTCTACTGCCCCTGCCTCCCTCTGGCCTCCACACTCCTGCCCCTGCCTCCCCCAGCCTCCACTCTACTGCCCCTGCCTCCCTCCAGCCTCCACTCTCCTGCCCCTGCTTCCCCCCGGCCTCCACTCTCCTGCCCCTGCCTCCCCCAGCCTCCACTCTACTGCCCCTGCCTCCCTCCAGCCTCCACTCTCCTGCCCCTGCCTCCCCCATCCTCCACTCTACTGTCCCTGCCTCTCCCTGGCCTCCACACTCCTGCCCCTGCCTCCCCCGGCCTCCACTCTCCTGCCCCTGCCTCCCCCGGCCTCCACTCTCCTGCCCCTGCCTCCCCCGGACTCCATTCTCCTGCCCCTACTGCCCACTGTCACCTCCCCGCCTCCCCGGCCTCCTGGCCATGCCGGCATCTCTGGATGACCGCTGGCCGCCTGCCTCATTTCCTTCAAGCCATTGGTCTTTGCTTAGAGACATTGGGGGCTTGTGCATTGCAGATTCGAGTCTTTTGTGTTTAATGTCACAAATAGTTCCTTGCCCAGTGCCTCCCTTGTCTTTGTACCTGAAAAATTCACTTGAAGCGATCCTTTGGCCTCTGAACACTATTAATATTCAAGACCTGTGGAAGTCTGTCGATATTTCCCTCAGCCTGTCTGGGTTCAGGGCTGGCGGCGGCGGACGTCTCCCCTCAAGGACACAGGGTGCTTTCTGGGCAGACGTGGCCTGTGTTCCCTGGGCTTTGTGCCTGTGGAAGGTTCTGGGCTTCACAGCAGTGTGGTGACCCTCTGAAGCTCCCTTCATTCATTCCCTCCTCCTGCCTTCACTCCCAGAGCTACCACAGAGGTCCCAGTTCCCTGTGTGGCTGCTGTGTGCTCTGTCACACCCTCACCTGCGGTCTTTGGGTCAGGAAACAAGGTCAGCTCAGCCGCTCCCACTGCTGTCATGGGGAGTCCAAGTCCCACCCCCAGGACCAGGCTCTGAGCAGCTGACGGTGGGAAGCCCAGCGAGGAACTATGCTGGAGCCCTCCCGTCTGTGGGGGAAGGCCCGAATGTGGCCGTGGAGGGGCCAGTGATGGCTCCTTGTCACCTCCAGGGTGTGGTGGCCATAAGGGGCTTGTGCTGGAAGCAAAGCCTTAGGTGGAGGGCACGCCTGGGACAGCCAGGGGTCCTGCTCACGTGCCCTGTGGTTAAACTTGAGTCATTTCGCTCACTTGGTTTGTGCTAGAGAATAGCAGTTTCTTGATGAAGAGATGAAACCCTCGTGGAAGAGAGGACTGGGAGCCCTTCCTTCCTGCTGGTGCCCACAGTGGGGGAGGCAGGCAGGCCACTGGCCCTCCGCCCAGCTCACTCCTGCTGCACACGGCTCCGGCGGGAGGGCGGCGGGACTGGGACCTGTGGGCAGCTGCTCCACAGGGCTCGCTGGACCCGGGACTCAGGGCTGGAGAAGAGTCACTGGGTCCCCCTGAGACATCAGCCTGGGCTGAGGTGGCAGAGGCAGGATCTGGGCTAGGCCTTCCGCCCGTGGGCTCCAGCTGGCCAGAGCCAGGCAGGGTGTGTGAGGCCCATGGAGAGCAGGGGGCCGGCTCTCCACACCCTCAGATCCCTGGCGTGAGGCACAGCTACTCCAGCTACTCCAGCTGCTCCACACTTCACCGAATCTGAGAGCCTGTGGACACAGCGGACCATGTCCAAATGCCAGAGCCATGGCAGCTGAGACTCCAGCTGTGATAGACGATGGGAGTGGGGTAGGGGTGTGAGGGTGGAGGGTGAGGGGGGTGTGGGGGGTGGGGGGGTGTAGAGGGGGTGGGGGTTGGGGTGGGGGGTAGGGGTGTAGGGGGTGTGGGGGGTGGGGGTGTAGGGGTGTGGGGTGTGGGGGGTGGGGATGTAGGGGTGTGGGGTGTGGAGGTAGGGGGTGGGGGTGGGGGTGTCGGGGTGTGGAGGGTGTGGGGGTGGGGGTGTAAGGGGTGTGGGGGGTAGGGGCGTGGGGGGTGTAGGGAGTTGGGGGTATAGGGGTGTGGGGGGTGGGGATGGGGGTGTAGGGTTGTGAGGGGTGCAGGGGGTGTGGGGGGTGGGGTGTGGGGGTAGGGGGTGTGGGGTAGGGGTGTGGGTGGTGCGAGGGGGTGGGGGTGGTGGTTAGGGGTGTAGGGGTGGGGGTGGGGTGAGGGTGGGGGTGTAGGGGTGTGGGGAGTGTGGGGGTGTGGGGTTTGGGGGGTGTGCGGGGTAGGGGAGGTGGAGGTGAGGGGGTGGGGGTTTGGGCGGACTTCGGCCATTCCCTGGCTACTGTGCAGCCGCCCTCCTCACACAGCCTACCGGCAACCCCTCCACCTGCCCATCAGTTCAGAGAGGACCAAGGCCCCACCCCTTTGGATCCTGAGTTCCTGGGGCCCCTCTGACCCCCCACACCCAGCCACACCTCAGTAAAGGCCCCCCCATCACTTGGGGCTGGGCTGCGTGTTTCCTCTGCGACTCCAGGAGGGAAGGACCTCTGCTGACCCCACCCGTCCACGCCGGGGCTCTGCCTGTGTGCGGAGCGGACCTCTGGCCTCCTGCCTCCAGGACAGTCACCACCAAAGCACTTGGTGATGAACTTGGCTGAAAAGCAAAATCCTTGACCAAGCCTGGGGGACTGATCTCTTCATTAAGAAGCTGCTATTCTCTGGCAAAAACAAGTGAGTGAAATTACCCAAGTTTAACTAGAGAGAACCATGTTCCTGTGTGTTCACAGAAGCAGGACTGCAGACGCAGCTGGGTGATGGTATTTTCAGTTTCTAGGCCTTTTTTTTAAACAAGTGAGGTAAACTTCTCAGCCCTCATCCTCCCCTCTTGCTCTCTCGGAGGAAGAGAAGAACGGTCATCAGTGGCGAATGGCACTTGGGGTGATGCCACAGGGACAGGTGCCTGCTCAGGAGGGAACGCTGCGCCTCCTCCCTGTGGTTTGCTGCGCTCTGCAGGACCAGAGAAACTTCTCTAGGAACCAGCTATACAAACGATCCCAGAATGCTGTCTTTCACTTTCTAGTGTTTTTTTTTTTTTTTTCCGAGACAGAGTCTTGCTCTGTTGCCCAGGCTAGAGTGCAATAGTGTGAGGCCAGCTCACTGCAGCCTCTGCCTCTCTTGTTCAAGTGATTCTCCTGCCTCAGCCTCCCAAGTAGCTGGGATTATAGGCAGGCACCACCACGCCCCTACGCCCAGCTAATTTCTATTTTTAGCAGAGAGGGGGTTTCATTATGTTGTCCAGGCTGGTTTTGAACTCCTGACCTCAGGTGATCTGCCCGCCTCAGTCTCCCAAAGTGCTGGGATTACAGGTGTGAGCCACTGTGCCCAGTTTCCAGTCTTTTGAAGTAATTGCTAAACTTTTTTTGTTGCCTTAAAATAAAAATCAACCATGTTTAATTAAAACGTTTGATTGACTAGATTCCATTGGATTATTGGATTCAGTCGCTCATTGGTCCTTAAAACCAGGAAGCCCTGCCTGGCCAGGCCAACGGAGCTGCAGGCTGTACCAGGCGGAGTCTTGCCCGGGGCTGCATAAGGGCCTGAAGGGAATCTGGCTGCCCCTGACGAAAACGCATTTTAAAAAACGTCCTCCCTGTGCCAGGGCTCCCATCCGTCCATGCCTTTTGGTTTCTGCCACCTCAGGGTGGGCATCCTGGTGGCTTTTCCACCCCTCTGGACACCAGCTGGCTTCCCATTGGCTTCTCTGTGGCTCACCTGCCCCTCTGGATGCCGGCTGGCCTCCCAGTGTCTTCTCTGTGGCTCACCTGCTACTCTGGACACCAGCCGGCCTCCCAGTGGCTTCTCTATGGCTGGCCCACCCCTCTGGATGCCAGCTGTCCTCTCAGTGGCTTTTCTGGGGAAGGCTTTTCTGTGGCTCACCTGCCCCTCTGGATACCAGCCAGCCTCTCAGTGGCTTCTGTGTGGCTCACCTGCCCCTCTGGATACCAGCTGGCCTCCCAGTGGCTTTTCTGTGTCTCAGGCTCATCCCACACCTCAGAACACATGAGGTTGGAAAAGCATTTCCCTCCAACCACACCCCCCGCTCAGGTGGCTTTTGCACCCTCATCACCTTGGCTGGTTGGGGGCCGCAAGGCAGGCCCTGGATGTGGCACTGAGTCACGCTGTTGGCACGGGGAGAACCAAGCCCCACCCCCAGGGCCACAGTGTGAGCGGCCAACCGTGGGAAGCTTGCCGAGGAGTTGAACTGTTCACTGGAAGGCTGGGTGGGGCTGAGGGAGATGCTGGGGCTGGACCAGGCCTGGGGCTGGAGCTGCAGGTGGTGGGTCACTTGCCACGTTGTTCGAAGGGAAGTCGGGGCAGTGGCTGACGCAGCCTCAGGGCCTGTTTTCCTCCAAGCTGGCGGCCCCTGGGTCCCTCGGACATCAAGCCTGTGCTGTTCCAAGTGCCTACCGCTCCCTTGCAGCGGCTCTGGCTTTTCCTGGACCTGCAATCTGCCTGGGAGCTCTTGAAACCCAGACAGGCCGAGCCAGGCCCACTGGGGCTGGGGCTCTGGGGTCAGCAGATTGTTCTAAGCTTCCCAGATGACCCTAGTGTGCAGCCAGGGCTAAGCACCCCGGTTCTGAGGCTGCTGAGCTGGCAGTGGTGCTGGGTGCCCGTTGGTGGCAGACCAGGCTGGCTGCAGTGGGGTTGCCCAAAGAGTGCCTCTGATGGCAGGGAGAGGGTGCTTCTATGTGGCACCCCTTCCACGGGCTCCCCAACTCATACGTTCCACACCTTTCTACACCCCACATCCCTCTTTCAAGGCATTGGTCAGCTCTAGGAAGACTTTCTTGTCTGACCACATGTGGCATTTTGCTATTCCTCTGCATTCATCCCTCCCGGGTGCCAGGGTGCTCTGCTGTGGGTGGCTGCCTGTGTGCAGGATGGGGCTGTTCAGGGAATGGCTGCTCCTACCAGCCCCAAGAGGGAGGGATCCAACAGTGGCTGCTGACCCCCACAGCACACAGGGTCACTGCTGGCCGTCCCCAGCACACAGGGCCACCGCTGACCCTTCCCAGTGCACACAGCCACCTCTGAGTGTCCCCAGCACACACGGCCACCTCTGACCCTCCCCAGCACACAGGGCCACCGCTGACCCTTCCCAGTGCACACAGCCATCTCTGAGTGTCCCCAGCACACAGGGTCACCGCTGACTGTCCCCAGAGCACACGGTTCCTGCTGACCCTCCCCAGCACACACGGCCACCTCTGACCCTCCCCAGCACACACGGCCACCTCTGACCCTCTCCAGCACACACGGCCACCTCTGACCCTCCCCAGCACACAGGGTCACCGCTGACCCTCCCCAGCGCACACGGTCACCACTGTGTCACATGTCCCTGTCAACATCTGGACTTCTTGGCTCTCACAAGGCTTCCATCCTGGAACCCCAGGTGGTTGCTCTGTTTGTTGCATTTCTCTGAAATGTAACAAAGGTGGGTAACCCCCAGAGCTGGAGGGGCAGGGACCCATGGGGGCTGCCCAGAAAATTCCCCACTTCCAATCTGAAGTCTCTTTTGCTCAGATTAGATTCTTTACTTCTAAAGAATGGAAATAATAAAAAACAATAAAGACTAGAAATAGGGCTTCCAAACATCTTGCTTCGGCCACGTCCTGTCTGTTTCCCTGCGGTTCTCAGACGTGGCATTGCCAGCCAGCCCATCCTCTGCCATCAGGGGGCCAGCAGATGTTTGCCAAGGAGCCTTGCCCTGCTGCCAGGAGGCACAGAGATGGGCAGAAGCAGGGGCTGTTGCCAGGGCACACTTTGACCCCTCATCAGTGCGGTGCAGGGTACGGTGCCCACAGACAAGCTGGAAGCCCCGTGCTTCAGTCTGATGAGAACGGGCCAAACGCTACCGCTGTGTCCCCAATCTTGCTGGTATTCCAAGGCTCTCAGGAGCTTAATTCAAGCGATTTCCTTCCTCCCTTCACCCCTAGACACAGGCACAGACGCACCCAGAGATGCGAGGCGGTGATGCTATGGGACTTAGCCCTCTGCTGAGCCACACGCAGCTCTGCCTGTGTATTTTAATCAGAGTTCAGGTCATGAGACAAACGTTGTATTCTACAAGTACAACTGTAGGGTTTGCTGCTCTGCTGTTTCAGACTCAAAAAGATGAGCTGATTCTTTTTTCCAAGGGGAGGGGACTTCAAGGGAGCCGTTCCTAGTTGTTTTCAAATTGCTGGTGAGCCTTTTACGTTATTTTTCTGAAATATATCACACATTTAGAAAGAGACATAAAGCATAGTGTCTGGCCCGGCGGATGTCGAGCGAGGTGTGACTGAGGGTGGCCGTCTGACAAGGAAGATGTGGCTTTTGCAGGTGGGACAGGACGGAGCTTGCAGCCGTGCGGGGCACGTCCAGGGTGTGTGCAGGTGTGGCAGGCATGCCAGGCACTGCGGGCACCTGCTCAGGCGCCTCCAGGCGTGGGCGTGCGCGTTGGGGGATAGCTCCGGGCAGGGCATCTACACTCCAGGGCTGCTGTTAGCTGGTGCCCGGCTCTGCCGTGGGGTCTGCAGCTGCCCACTCCTGGGGCCCCGTGGGGGCTGTGCAAGGGCACGTCTTCAGTTTCAGGTCCACCCGAGGGTTTCCCAGTCGTTGCCAACTTTGTGGTCACTCAGTTTTCCATTTTTCTCTCCACAGGGCCTCCCCTGGTCCTGTCCTCATGTTTCGTGTGGAGCCCAGGACTCTCCCACCCGAGCTGTGACTCAGCAGTTGCTCCTCAGTCCTGGGTGCCAACGACACCCACCATGTCTCCCTTATCGGATGGCCACCCTCAGTCACACCTCGCTCGAACATTCACTGGTCCAGATGCCGCAATTCCATGGGCTGTGGGCCCAGCTCTCCTTAGAGATGCCTGGGGACAGGGACAGGGACCCAGGCGGGATGCTTTGGAAACCACCAGAGGTGGACAGTGAGGGGCTGGAAGGAGCCAGCCCAGAGGTCAGAGCCTGGAGCAAGGTGGCCCTTAGGATTCTGTGGTTTCTGTGCACGGCGTCCCTTTTTCTCTTGGACACGTGGTAAGATTCAGCACAATCTCAACTGTGCTCAGGGAACAGAGGGCGGGACGCACATTCCGGCTTGGGCAAGAACAGGCAGACCCAACCATAACCAACCCCCCAGGGAGTCAGAGGTGCAGGGCTGTGGGGCAGGTGCGTTCCACAGGCCGATTCCGGAGTAGCTGGAAGACGTCGCTGCCTGGGGATCAGCCCTGCGGCCGGGGGCCCTTCCCACACCTGCAGCTCTGACCTCACCACCTGGTTCGGTTGCTCATGGCACCCGCTCTAACACCTGCTTCAATAGCAGCGGTGACGGAGGCTGCTGTTGCCTTCACCTGAACTTTACAGAGTGAAAACTTTGTTCCTCTGGTTACAGAACAGCCAAGCTGTCTTCAATTCATCAGTGGAGATCGATGTTTCCTATGAGGGGTTTAGAAACCGGGAACTGACTTCATTAAATGCCCTCGTGGCTCTTTCAAGACGCAAAAGTGTAAACCCTCCGTTCACAGTAAGTATTCAACAGTCAACAGGTATTGGTTGAACAAAAGATGAATAGTTAAGAATGTAAGTGACAGAAAGATGAACAGTGGCTTATGCTAAAGGTGGTATATTGCTCTTGTGAAAATAAGACAAATATAAATATTTTAAATATGTAACAATAGATTATTCATATAATATTTAAGTATAGATTTGCAAATAAGATACGAAATAAAACTTATTAGTATCTGGCTGACCTTGGCTGACCAACAATGCCTTCAAGAATCTTGGATCCTTGTGTCTTACTTTGTGATGCTAGATTCGGCGTGAGGCATTTGTCCTCTTTGTTACAATGTGGCTGCTGCAACTCCAGGCATCATCTCTGCATTCCACAAAGGCAGAAGAGGAAGGAGAGGGAAGGGCGAAAGAAGTGTGTTGTTCCTTGTTATCAAGAAAATAAAAGACTTCCCTGGGTGCCCCACTAGAAGGATTTCTGCTTGGGTCTCATCTGCGTGACCTGTCAAATGGCTGCCCCTTCTTAGGAGGAGGACGGAAAATAGAAAGGGAGGGTGAGGTTGGGATTGCCAGCTCACAGGGTTGCCATGATCTCTTTGTAAGATGACTTTCGGGAGTAGATGTCATCACATTTTCCACATGAGAGCTTGCTCAGAGTGCATAATTATTTTAATCAACTGCGGAGTTTCAACTTAGGCTTTGTATATTTCCTCCGAAGGGAAGTTTGTCTTCAGTTTTACTTTTTGTGTATGGCCTGGTTTGATATCACCATGCAGTGCGATTTAAAACCGTAGACCTATTCATAACTTGACAGGCGTCTTTTAAGGGGAATTTTAAAAGTAGCTCTCAATTTTGTAACGTTATCAAACTTTACAGGTTTCTTATTTCTCAAGAGCCATCTTTGGTAATTTGCATTTTCCTGGAAAATTGGTTTTCAGATATGGAAAAATTACTTTCTGAGAAATTATACACCAAAGTCTCTTGCAATATCGTTTAAAAAACTTCTATGTGTACATAATAAATGTATATGTCTATAGGGCACATGAGATACTTGGATACAGGCGTGCACGTGTAATAGTCCCTCAGGCTAAACGGGGTGTCCATCACCTCAAGCACTTACCCTTGCTCTGTGTTACAAACAATCTAATTATATTCTTGTAGTTATTTTCAAACATTCAGCTTCACTTCATTTACTCTGCTGCTCAAACGCTAGCTCTTATTCATTCTATTTCATGGTATTTTTGTACCCACGAACCATCCCCACTGCTCCCCGCCACGCCCATAACCCCTCTCTGCCTATGGTAACCATCATTCTACGCCATCTCCATTTGTTCAATTGTGTTCATTCTTGGCTCCCACAAAGAAGTGAGAACATGTGGAGTTTGTCTTTCTGTGCCTGGCTTAATTCACTCAACAGAATGATCTCAGTTCCAGCCACGCTGTGGCAGATCGCTGGACCTCATTCTTCTTTGTGGCTGAGTGGTACTCCATGGTGTGTCTATGCGCCCTGTTTTCTCTATCTATTCATCTGTTGATAGACACAGGTTTCTTCCAAATTTTGGCCATCGCGAGCAGTGCCGCCGTAAGTGTGATGGTGCAGATATCTCACTGACAGACTGATTTCCTTTGTTTTGGGAAATCTCACTGACAGACTGATTTCCTTTGTTTTGTAAGCCCAGTAGTGGGGTTGCCGGGTCTTACAGCTGTATTACTCTGTATTATTTGTAGTTTTTTTGGGAAATCTCCATCATGGTTGTACTGATCTGTATTCCCACCAACAGTGTACATGGTTGGTGTGACGTCTCTTTTCTCCACGTCCTCAGCAGCATTCCTGATTGTCTGTTGAATAGAAGCCACTTAAACTGGGGTGGGCTATCACATTGTAGCTTTGGTTTGCATTTCTCTGATGACCAATGATATCGAGCCCCTTTGCATAGCCCTGCTTGCCTTTGTACACCTTCTTTGGAGAAATGTGTACTCAGATCTTTTCCCCATTTTAAATCGGATTATTAGGTTGTTTCCTGGTGAGTCGTTTGAGCTCCTCTCATGTTCTGGCTGTGAACCCCTTGCTGGGTGCGCGGTTCGCGGGTGTTTGCTCCCTCGCTGCGGGTTGTCTCTTCACCTGGTTTCCCTTGTTGTGCAGAAGCCTCTTACCTTGATGGGATCCCATTCGTCCATTGTTGCACTGTTGCCTGTGCTCGTGGGGTATTTCTCAAGAAATCTTTGTGAAGCCCGAGATCCTGGAGCGTTTCCCTAATGTTTTCTGTTAGTACTTTCATAGTTTTAGGTCTTAGATTTAAATCTTTAATCAATTTTGTTTTGATTTTTTTTAAGTAGTGAGAGATAGAGGTCTAGATTTTTTTCTTCTGGATATGGATATCCAGTTTCCCCAGAATTGTTTGTTGAAGACACTGTCCTTTCCCCCAGTGTATGTGCTTGGCAGCTTTGTAAAAAATGAGTTCACTGTAAATGTATGGATTTATTTCTGTTCCTCTATTTCATTCTGTGTGTCTGTTTTCATGCCAGAATCAGGCTGTTTGGGTTACTATATCTCTGTCATAACATTTGAAGTCAGAAAATGGGGTTCCTCCAGCTTTGGTCTTTTTGCTCAGGATAGCTTTGGCTATTTTGGGTCTTTTGTTGTTCCATGTAAACTTTAGGATTTTTTTTATACATATGTGAAGAACATCGGTGGTATTTTGATAGAGACTGAATTGAGTCTGTAGATTGCTTTGGGTAGCACGAGCACTTTCATATTGATTCGTCCAATCCATTAACATGGAATATCTTTCTTTTTTTTGGTGTCCTCTTCGATTTCTTGCATCAATGCTTTATATTTTTTATTGTAGTTACCGTTCAACCCTTTGGTTACGTTTACTCCTGGGTATTTTATTTTATTTGTAGCTATTGTAAATGGAATTACTTTCTTGATTTCCTATTCAGGTTGTTCACTGTTGGCACGTAGAAATGCTACTGGCTTTTTAAAACTTTTGTATTCTGCAACTTTACTGAATTTGTTTATCAGTTCTAACCATTTTCTCTTTCTTGGCAGGCTCTTCAGGTTTTTCTAAACATAAGATCATATTATCTTTTCCTTTCCAATTTGGATGCCCTTTATTTTTTCTTTGTTTGATTGCTGTAGCCAGGACTTCCAGTACTATATTGAATAACATTGGGGAAGTGGGCATCATGAAACCAGCTGTACTGAATGAAATGATCATACGGTTTTTGTCCTTCATTCTGTTGATTGGATATATCACATTGATTGATTTGCATATGTCGAACCATCCTTGCATCCCTGGACCTCATTTGGTCTGGTTTTGGTATCAGGGTAATACTGGCCTCATAGAATGAGTTTGGAAGTATTCCTTCCTCCTCTATTTTTGTGAATAGCTTGAGTAGGATTGGCATGGCTCTTCTTTAAATGTTTGGTAAAATTTAGCAGTGAAGCCATCAGGTCCTTGGTTTTTCTTATATTGTGAGACTTTTTATTATTGTTACTTGCTATTGTTTTGTTCAGGTTCTGGACTTCCTCATGGTTCAATCTTGGTAGGTTGTACATGTCTAGGAATTTATTTTTATGTAGTGGGAGATAGAGGTCTAGATTTTTTTCTTCTGGATATGCATATCCAGTTTTCCCAGCATTGTTTGTTGAAGACACTGTCCTTTCCCCCAGTGTATGTGCTTGGCAGCTTTGTAAAAAACGAGTTCACTGTAAATGTATGAATTTATTTCTGGTCCTCTGTTCTGCTCCATAGGTCTATCTCTTCCATTTTTTTTCTAGATTTTTTGATCTATTGGCATATAGTTGCTCATAGTAGCGTCTAAAATCCTTTGAATTTTTGCAGAATTGGTCGTAATGTCTCCTTTTTCTCTGATTTTATTGATTTATTATTTATATCTCTGTCTTCTTAGTGAGCTGGGCTAAAGGCTTGTTGATTTTGCCTATTTTTTTAAACAACTTTTGTTGCATTGATCTTTTGTATTTTTTTTGTTTTAATTTCACTTATTTCTGCTCTGATCTTATTTTTTCTACTAATTTGAGACTTGGTTTGCTTTTTCTTTTCTAGTTCTTTAAAATGCTTCATTAGATTTGCACATGTTGAACCATCCTTGCATCCTTGCTTGAAGTTTTTCCTGCCTTTTGATGTTAGTGCTTATTACTATAAACTTCCTCTTACTACTGCGTTCCCCGTAGCTCACAGGTTTGGGTGTCTTGCGTTTCTATTTTCATTTATTTAAACGATAATTTAAATTTCAGTCTTAATTTCTTCATTGACCCACTGGTCATTCAGGAGTATATTCTTTAATTTCCATGTTTTTGTACAGTTTTCAAATAATTAATAATAAGGGGAATTTGATGCAAATTCCTACACGTTGATACAAACTCTTCTTATTATTGATTTCTAATTTGATTACATCACGGTCAGATACTTGATATGGCTTCAGCTTTTTAAGACTTGCTTTGCAGCTTGACATACGGTCTGTCTTTGAGAATGACTCATGTGCCGAGGTGAAGAATGTGCCTTGTGCAGCTATTGGATGAAACACTCTGTAAGTATTTATTAGGTCCACTTGGTTTACAGTGCAGTTTGAGTCTGATGTTTGTTTGCTGATTTTCTGTTTGGATGATCTGTTCAATGCTGAAAGTGGGGTGTTGAAGTCTCTAGCTATTATTGCATTGGGTCTGTCTCTCTGTTTAAGCTCTAATAATATTTGCTTTACATATCTGGATGCTCCAGTGTTTGGTGCATATATATTTACAGTTATTATTTTCTCTTGCTGAATTAACACACTTATCATTATATAATGTTTCTTGTCTCTTTTTATAGTTTTTGTCTTGAAATATATTTTGTCTGATAGAAGTATAGCTACTCCTGCATTTTTTTGGTTTCCATTTGCCTGGAATATCTTTCACTGTCCCTTTATTTTCAGTCTGTGTGTGTCTTTGTAGTGAAGTGTGTTTCTTGTAGGCAACAGATCATTGGTTTGTTTTTTTTTTAAATCCATCAGCCACTCTACGTCCTTGGAGGGTTTTGTCCATTTACATTCAACGTTGTTATTGATAAGCAAGGACTTACTCCTGCCATTTTGTTATTCGTTTTCTGATTGTTTTGTGGTCTTCTCTTTCTTCTTTCCTTTCTTCCTGCCTTCCTTAATACTGAAGTTAATTTTCTCAGGTGGTATGTTTAATTTCTTTCTTTTCATTTTTTATGCATCTGCTGTATTTTTTAAATTTGAGGTTACCATAAGGCTCTGAAATAATATTGTATAAGCCATTGTTTTTAAACTGATGAAAAGTTAACAGTGATTGCAAAAACAAACAAGCAAGCAAAGAGAAAACGGATAGAAACTCTACAGTTTGACTTAGTTCCCTTGCTTTTTCACTTTTTGCTGCTTCCACATATAGCTTATATTGTCTACGTCTTGAAAAGTTGTTGTTATTATTTTTGAAGGTTCATCTTTTAGCCTTCATACTCAAGATATATGTACCTTACACACAACAATTACAGTGTTGCAATATTCTGTGTTTTCTTTGTTCTTACAATTACCGGTGAGCTCTGCACCTTCAGAGGCTTTCTTATTATTCATTAACATCCTTTTCTTTCAGGTCGAAGAGCTCCTCTTAATATTTCTTGTAGGGCAGGTCTGGTGTTGATGAAATCCTTCAGCTTCTGTTTGTCTGGAAACGTTTTTATTTCTTCTTCATGTTTGAAGAATATTTTCACTGGATGTACTATTCTGGAATAAAAGGGTTTTTTCCCTTCATGACTTTAAATATGTCGTGTGACTCTCTCCTGGCCTGTAAGGTTTCCACAAGGACATCTGCTGCCGGATGTATTAGAGTGACTCTATATGTTACTTGTTTCTTTTCTTTTGCTGCCTTTAGGATTCTTCCTTTAACTTCCACCTTTGGGAGTTTGATTATTCAGTGTCTTGGAGTAGTATTATTGGGGTTAAATCTGCTTGGTATTCTATAACCTTTTTATACGTGAATACTGAAGGCTTTCTCCAGATTTGGGAAGTTCTCTGTTATGATCCCTTTGAATGAACTTTCTTCCATGATCTCTCTCTCTCACACATTTATTTCAGGCCAGTAACTTTTAGGTGTGCTCTTTTGACGCTGTTCTCTCGATCTCATAGGTGTGACTCATTCTATTTTATTCTTTTATCTTTTGTCCTTTGAGTATTTTCAAATTTCTGGTCTTCAAACTCACAAATTCTTTCCTCTGCTTGATCGTGTCAGCTATTAAGATACTCTGATGCATTCTTCAGTATGTCAGTTGCGTTTCTCAGCTCCAGAATTTCTGCCTGATTCTTTTAAATTACTTCAAGCTCTGTTGAATTTGTCTGATAAGATTCTGAATTCCTCCTCTGTGTTATCTTAGATTTTGGTGAGCCTCTTTAAACACCGATTTTGAATTAAGTGCCTGAGAGGTCACATATCCCTGTCTCTCCGGCATTACCCATGGTGCCTTATTTAGGTTTTTGGTGAGGTCATGTTTTCCTGGATGGTCTTGATGTTTGCAGATGTTGGTTCATGTCTGGGATGGAAGAGTGAGCTATTTATTGCAGTGTTTGCAGTCAGTCTGGGCTTCTTTGTACCCATCCTTCTTGGGAAGGCCTTCCGGGTATTCAAAGGGACCTGAGTGTTGTAATAAGTCTTTGGTCACTGCAGCCATGTCGGCTTTACAGGGCATCCTAAGCCCAGCAACACTGTGGCTCCTGAAGACTCACAGAAGTACCACCTTGGTGGTTTGGGAAAGATCTGTGAGAATCCCCTCAATCACCAAGAAGAGATTCTTGTTATTCTCCCTTACCTCCAAACAAACAAAGTCAGTCTCTCTCTGTCTCTCTCTCTCTCTCTCTGTCTGTTGAGCTGCCTGGAGCTGGAGGATGGTGACATGAACACTCCTGAGGTCACTACCTGGGACTGTGCTGTGTCAGACGCAAAGCCAGCAAGCACTGGGTCTCACCCAAGGCCTGAAGTGACTACTGCCTGGCTACCATGTTTACTCAAGGCTCAAGGGCTCCAATCAACAGGTGGTGAATCCAGGTTGCGTCCCTCCCTTTAGGGTGGCAGGTTTCTCCCAGCCCCAGGTTGGTCCAGAGACGCCATCTGGGAGCCAGGGCCTGGAGTTGTGAACCTTAAGAATCTACTTGGTGGTCTATTCTGCTGCAGCTGACCTAGCTCTTAGGCCACAAGACAGTCCTTTCCACTCTTTCCACCACTTTCCTCAAGCAGAGGAGTCTCCCTGGGGTGATCTCAATCTCAGACCTGCAGGGAGTATGGCCCAGCTACTGCCAATGTCCACTCAAGGCTCCAGGGCCCTTCAGTCAGCATGTGGCAAATGCTCCCAGGCCTGGGACTCACCCTTCAGGGCATTTGGCTCCCTGCTGGCCCAGGGTAGGTCCAGAAATGCCATCCAGGAGCCAAGGCCTGGAATCAGGGACCTCAGGAGACTGCCTGCTGCTCTACTCAGCTGTGGCCAAGCTGGCACCTGACTCAAGGCAAAATCCACTTGACTCTTCCTTCTCCTTTTCTCAAGCAAAAGGGCTTCTCCCTGCAGCCCTGTAGCTACCACAGCTGAACAAGCACAGCTCTGGGCCTCAATAAGGCCCACAGCAAGTACTCCCTGCTTACCACGGCTGATTATTCAGGACCCAAGGGCTCTTTAGTCAGGAGGTGATGAATCCTGCCAGGGCTGGATGTGACCTCCAGGGCTGGGTCCTTCCCTTCAAGGTAGCAGGTTCCCTCCTGATGCAGCATGCGTCCGTCCTTCCTTCCTTCCTTCCTTCCTTCCATCTTTTATGTTTATGTTTGAGGGACGGTCTCACTCTGTTTCCCAGGCTGGTCATGAATGCTTGACCTTCTTTTGGTTTTCAGATCTTACTGTATTTGTTTTTAAGGCACCTGTGTTTTACTTTAACCAGTCATGATACAGCGGATGTTAACAGCAGAAATGGAAAATCTGGGTAGATAGACACACATTCTCCCACTTCCTCAGCATTTATTTTGCGGCTCCTCTTCTGCATCATAATGAATTTCATTTCTCTCTAATGACTAGAGCATTGAGAGGTATAAATTTCCTTCTGATTACAGTGTCAGCTTCTTCTCATGTGTTTTGTATCTGGCTACCAGGACTTTGCTGGTCTTGTTACTGTGTTGGTCCATTCTCATACTCCTATAAAGAAATACCCAAGATTGGATAATTTGTAAAGGAAAGAGTTTAATCGACTCACAGTTCCACACGGCTGGGAAGCCTCAGGAAACTTACAGTCACGACAGAAGGCAAAGGGGAAGCCAGCACTTTCTTCACAAGGCAGCAGGAGAGAGAAGAATGAAGGAGAAACGTCCAAACCCTTAGAAAACCATCAGATTCCAGAAGTCACTCACTATCACCAGAACAGCAGGGGGGAAACTACCCCATGCTCCACTCACCTCCCTCACCTGGCACATGGGGATTACAGGTTCCTCGTCATGTGGAGATTACAATTTGAGATGAGATTTGAGTGGGGACATAGAGCAGAAGCGTATCAGTTAAAATCCTTTATTTTTTCATTAAGCAAAGGGTTAAGAAAGATTTTGAAAAGCTTTCAAGCGGTTTGATATTTTCCTGTCTTCCCTCTTTTGTCACTGGTATCTAACTTGTTGCAACGTGGTCAGAGAATGTGGCCTGTATAATTTCAACATTTAAAACATAATAAATTTCCAAGAGTTTCTTTTTGGTCCGGGATCTGGTTTGATGCCCCAAACCATCTCTCTCAGGTAGATATTATTAAATGACTCACAGGTGTCTGAAAAAAATCCACCTGATGTGTCTTTGGAGAACAAAGCCTGAGCCACAGAGCCAAGCGTGTTCAAACCTCTTCTGCTCTTCATCGCTCGAGCCTGGCTGGGCGTCTGCCGGTCCCCTGTGTGTTCACTGAGCTCTCAGAGTCTGAGATGTCTGACTTAAAGTGCTCCTAGGGATGTCCTGGTTGGAGACAGTGGAGCAGAGGAGGGATTCAGGGCTATTTTAGGCAAGAGGCAGGGGCTCCTAAAACACGGTTTCCTCATCTCTGACACAGAAAGAGCAATTAAGGGGGTTATCTGGAGCACCAGTCATGATTGTAAATTGTATAGAACCATGCGAGGCACATAGCAAAGGTTGGCTCTGTATGGAATTGTAACTTTTAACATGCAGAAAACCTTTTGACGTCCTTCTACACGTTTCCTAACAGTATTTTTTCTGATGGCCCCAATTGCATCTCCGTTCTCCCTTGACTGGGCATCTTCCTGGTTCTGGGCTCCACGTGGTGCATAGCAGAGTGCTCCTCGGAACCCACACGGGCTGCCCGTGAGGGCCGCCTGAGCTCCACAGCACTGCTGTGCTTCTGAATGAGAAAGAGAGTTGGACTTTATCGTCTGGCTCGTTGGATAGGTGGGTGCTCTCTCTCTCGGTCTTCCTGTGATCAGCTTTCATTTGGTCTGATTTTCAGTCACCTGTTATGCTTCCTGCTGTTTCACCCTTCCATGCTCTAAAATTATTATTCAGTATAGTGCTGAGGTTATTTTCTTGCTTACTCTTTTTTCTTTTTGTAATTTAAAAGCAAAACACTTATATTCTGCCAGTGTCCACCTTACTTAATCCACGTATTTATACCTGTTTCACCAAAAGCTGTCCTTCATCCCGTATAAAACGGGAAACTTTACTGTGCTTAACTTTCTCCTCGCCTTGCTCCCAACACTCACATTTTGTTTGAATAACACGGGCATCTTGCACCTGATTTATGAGTGTATTTTATCTGTTATGTATTCTTTCAGAAACTATTCTGGCCCTTGCACTATATATTAGTCACCTGGACATTAACGTGTGCCCCACTGGGCTGAGCTCCTACTCTCATGTGTTTGGACCATGCCTTCTTTGTCATCTTCATTTTCATCCCGTTCTTGTTCATCTAACATTTGGAGTCCTGTATCCATGAACGTATCTCTCTATCGTCCTCACACGTAAACACTGGCTTGAAATAACGGAGACATCTTGGGTGATGAACTTTTTTCTCCTTGAAAGTCTGAGTGGCTGTCCTGTTGTTCAGTTGCATTTGGGGCCCCGAATACGGACTGTGATACTGACGTTCCCTCCCTCCCACTGAGGTTTCTCTCCAAACTTGAATGCCTGTTGGAATTCTTCCTGATCTGCGAAATGAGAAGAATCCCTCCAGGTCATCCTTCCTGCATCCCGGCCGGCCTTCGTCTCAAGGACCAGTGGCTGTTGGCTCACTTTGTTGTGCCACTGACGTCTTGTCTCATGGAACACTGGGCCCCCGAGCGAGGGGCTCTCATAACCAGGGCACCTTTCCCTCCTCCTGCCTGTGACCCTCGGTGGGGTCCTTTGCCTCCATGAGACTCTTATTTCTGTTCTTCTCCCAAGTTCTCTGGGAAGTAGAAGAAGAAGCAGTGTTGCAACTTGGGCTCCTCCCTCTCATGCTATGTTCTCCATCCATTTTCCCAAATGACCCTCTCGTACTCAGAGCCGTGGACACAAGCTGAGACCTGGAGTGGAGGTGGTGACGGTTCATTAGTCAAGCCCAGCTTCTTCATGTGGCAGGAATCGTAGCTGTTTTCCATTGATTGCACTCCCTCCCCATATTGCTGTCAAAACCCTGGGTATCCATTGCTGTGATCTGGCTCCTATATAGCCCGTAAGCCCTTTGAAACATGGCTTAGAATCCCAATTGCAGACAAGGTTGATATCATTTCTCATGGTGGTTCCAAGTCCCATAAATTAAACGTTGTGGTAAGATGCTTGTGCTGTGCCCTCTGAATGCCCAGTGAAGCTGTCCACAAAATGGCAGGCTCATAGAGGACCTCTAATTGGCATGGGAATCAGGAAAACGGGGTAGAAGACCAGGGCTTCAGCAGTGAATGGCTCTCTTAAAATGACTCTTTCCTGATAAGACAAGACATTGCCTGGTCCAGTCAGAACATCGCATTCGGCAAACTTCAGAAAGAAGTTATGAAATCTGATAATGGCTAAAATAGCTTTACTGGACTGATTTTACTTAAGAAAGCAATTACAAACTTTGAATGAACAAATAGACAAACAGACACGGCAATATATTTTAAAGCCTTGAAGTACGACCTGGAATAGCAGCTGAAGAAGACTCAGTGTTTGGGGGCAGTCTACAGTCCCATGACGTAGGGAAGACGGGACTCAAGCATGAAGTGTAGTCTAGTTGGTTAGAAGTATCATAAGGTGGCATTTGGGCTGTCAAAGTATTTGGAAATTGAGGAAGGAAATCCAATAGAAGAGGGAGTCACAGAAGGGAGAGCCACAGATCTGTGTATAAACTCCCCTCAAATCCTCGGTGATGCATGTGAGGGAGATTTTAAAGAGGTTGACAGGAAATTGAAGCTGGAAAAGCTAAAATAACATCTCAGCTGCTGTTCACAACAGAAGTGCCAGATTTGGAATTTAAGTCCTGTCAAGTTACAGGGGCTTGGTAAAAAAAAAAAGTTTAAATACGTCTCCACATATTCAAGGTGATTATCTGGTAAATTAATTGCTTATTAGGAAAAAAAAGTCAACAATTTTCACAGAAAGAAAATAGAATCCAAATTCTGAACAATATCAAATAAACAATAAGAAATTAGTACATATGTGAAGAAACTGAAAAAATGTGAGCCGTACACAAAAGAAAGTAATCAATGTAAACACACTGTGATTTGACCTTCATTTTGGAATTAGCAGACAAACAATTTAAAACATCGTTGTGGACATACTCAAAGAATTATGATTACAGCAGACTACAAGGAGTGAATGGATGAAAGAATTCTCAACACGGAATGAGAAACTATGTAGGAACCAACTAGATATTTTAATACTTAAGTGTTAGATTTCCAAAATGAAAAAGCCCCTGGATAGGGTTAGTAAAAGACTGACGATGACAGAAGAAAACATCAGTAAACTTGAAAGCAGATTTTTTAAATGACCAAATTTGAAGAACAAGAGAGGAAAAATGTACAAAAAATGATGCCTCATGACTTATGAAACATCGTGCAGTCTAATACACTTGTAACTGGAGCCACAAGAGGAACGGAGATAGCAAATGGGGTAGACAAAATATTAGAAAAAAGGTAGAAATTCTCCTAAAGTTGATGAAAACATAAATGTACAGATTTAAAGCCAGTGAACCCTAAGTAGAATAAATTCACAGCAAGCCATTACAGGCACACCACAAACTATTTAAAGATAAAGATCAAGAAAAAAATCTTGTATACAGCCTGAGGAAAATGGCTCACGGTATCATTGGAGAAAGTAATACAAATGATGACTGACTTTTCAGCTGAAATGATGGAGGCCAGAAGACAATGGAACTCTTACCTTTGAAGTATTGTGAGAAAAACTGTCAACCCCAAATTCTCTCTTCATCCAAGTACGTGACATGGACAATTCCTTGGAAGACTCAAGTTAACAATGCTGACACTAGAAGTAACAGAAAATCTGAATAGGCCTATATATTACAGAAGTTAAATGTATCAAAAACCTTCCCATAAAGTAAACTTCAGGCCCAGTTTCACTGTAAAATTTTCTCAAACATTAAAGAAAAAAATTATCGATTTTACAGAAACACTTTCAGAAAACAGGACAGAAAGAGGGA